AAGTATGCATTTGTATACAAGGTGTCAGAAGAAAGAAAAGCCTAAGCAGAAATATCCAAATATGAACAGTAATTATTTCTGGGTAGGACTGAATGATTCCTAATTTTGTCTTTATAATTTTCAAAATATGCATATATTAGTCTAAGAGTCAATAAAATTTTAAATAACAAAACATTATGCAAAAAGTTATACAGCGTATTTTTTTGCTCTCTTATTGGGTAATAAATAAAATTCAATCTAAGACACATCAGGGCTTTCTGAAAACTGTTAAGGCAGCACTTACTAAAGGATTGTGATAGCTTGTGGTACCATTAAATACTCTGTACTACCTAAATAAAGCCAGTCCACTTAGTTTTCAGATATAGAGCCTTATTAAAATATTACCACCTTTGAAAATCATTACATGAACAATTCATATCCCTTGCCTAAAGCAAAATTAGACAAACATAAATCATAGCCTTCTAATCATTTTGGCTCAGAAATGACATTACTTACTTCTAAAAAAGATTAAGTTAGTCATGTACTTCTCAATGGCCAAACGAGAAAACATGACAATGTTTTACTTCATATCAATCAGATCTCATCTTTCTTCTGCCCCAAAACATATCTAAGATCTTTTCCTCTTTTAACCTTAAGCCTGTTGTGAGGTAAGTTTTGTGGGTTTTGTTCTCAATCCAGTATATCTGAACAATAAGAGCTGTAAATGTTTTAAGTGACAACTCTGTCAGCACTAAAAATGATCTTAAAACAAAGCATAAGCTAGCATTAAACAACAACAACGAAAACCCAGACCAGGCACAGTGACTCATGCCATAATCCCAACACTTTGAGAGACCAAGTGGGTGGATCACTTGAGCCCAGGAGTTTGAGACCAGCCTGGGCAACATGGCAAAACCGTCTCTACCAAATAGATGCAAAAATTAGCTGGGAGTGGTGGTACGTGCCTATAGTCCAGCTACTCGGGAGGCTGAGGTGGGAGGACCATGTGAACCCAGGAAACAAAGGCTGCAGTGAGCTGAGATCATGCCACTGCACTCCAGCCTGGGCAACAGAATAAGATTCTGTCTCAAAACAAACAAAAAACCAAAAGCTCTCATTTGCCTCATTAAAATAGTCAAAGAAAGAAACTAAATGAAAAGAACAGTAATACCTTATTATTGATTAGGTTTTTAAAAATCTTAATTTTTAAGATTTTTCCTCAAAACTTTTCTTGAGTGCCAATTATGTATGTGATTAGCACTATATTACACATCAGGAATAAAAGATGAGCAAGATAGGATTTCAAATTCAAATGATGATCTGTTATAAAACCCTCCAAAGACAGATATGAAATAGAAAGGTAAATTTCTTTCTGTTGACTTATGATAACTGATGAAGACATTAACTGTTGAAAGCAGAAAGTTGTCCAATAACTTATGAAGGAAATGTCTAGTAAAGTTATTGGCACAAAAATAGGTACTCAAATATTTGTTGAATTAATTAATGAACATTCAAAAGAGAGAGGATTTCCACTCTGGCATTTAATACCTTCAAAACATTTATTTAAATATAACATTATCATTACTTTTATTGTGTTAAAAAATTAGATAATGCGTTATTCTTTTAAACTATATTGTCTTTGTAAATAATTGCCAATGAAGTAAACCTGATATAAACACTACCTTAAACCATAATCTGTATTTAAAACATTTATTTATGTCAAGCCCATAAGATGAATTATGAAACTTAACATGTATTTTATTCCTAATAAAGTAGCTAGATAAATCATAACACACTGCAACTTCCCATACATTTCAAAAGAAGAATGACGTTCTAAACCTTTGGAACATCATAAATGAAATAAATGGTACTAAAGTAAATTTAAGAGTTTTCTTTTGCAGTTGTAACTCTGAAAAAATTAGCTATCACTCTAATCATCTTAAGAAAAAGTTAAACTTCCCTTTCTGCTTGTGCATTCTTTACCTATAGATGCATTAAAAATTACCACAACACTTAGCAGCTTCAAAGACAAACATTTATTATCTCATAGTTTCTGTAAGTCAGAAATGTGGGACCAATTTAGCTGGGTGATTCTGGCTCATAGTCCCCATGAAGTTCTAGTCAAGAGACTGGCAGTGGCTGTAATTATCTGAAGGCTTGTTTGTGGCTGAAGGACTTGCTTTCAGGATGATTCACTTCACGTGGTTGTTGCTAAAAGGCTCCAGTTCCTTGCTGGTTGTTGGCAGATGACCTCAATTCCTCACATGGATCTCTTCATACATTTCCTTCAGTGTCCTCATGCATAGTAGCTTGCTTCTCCCAGAGTGATGCAAGACAGAAAGCAAGATGGAAGCCAGAAATTTTCTTATCATCTGCCCTCAGAAGTCACACTTCATTTTCAACACATTCCGTTTGGTAGAAGTGAGTCCCTAGGAACAGCCTATACTCAGGAAGAGGGGAATTAGACTCCAGTGAAGAAAGGAGTATAAAATGTTTCCATATTTTAAAACGACCATAATTCACTTCTCTTTGAACACCAATTATTTATATTTTTCTCATATTCAAAATACATTCTACCCTCCCATGACTCCCTACAAGTCTCATCTTTTTATAGCAACATCTTCAAAGCTAGGATGCCATCTTCTAAACAGGTGCAGGTACAGCTGAAACTCCCTGGGTATATGTAGTTCCTTAAATGCTGCTCCTTGAATATATATCGCTTCTCTCAATCTGATGATCTGGAACTAAAGATACAAATTATCTGCCCAACACATACCCAAAAGACAATGGTAGGACAGGCAGAGGATAACTGCCATGTGACCTTCTTGTTCAAAAGTGGAAAAAATGAGAGGAACAACATAGTTATTGGTGCACGTAATTCTGAAATCAAGGTGGCAACGATGGAAGTTCCTAGAGTGGAACTTAGGACCTGGGAATAATTTTTCATAACTCTTGGCTCTGGCCTTTGAGATCTTGGTTCTAATTTCTAATTTTCTTCTATTTTCATTGAAGGGTGGACCAAGTTTGCATCTGTATAGTTTTCAACTTGCTTCCTGCAAGTAGAATTTTGGGGATTCAAAGGGCCCCTCTTCAATCAAAGGTGGTATTTCTGCCAATATAATGCGTCAAAAAACTTTGTGAATCTTATAGCGGTCCACTCCATTAGATAAAAAGCACACTCATAAATGAGAAAAACTCTTCTCAACCTTAAACTTCTGCTATGTGACATACATTTACACTTCTTACAGGACCTATTACTTTAATTGAAAGATTCTCTGAGGTTCATCTTAAATCCTCCTGAGGTCTTAACAAAGGAATTTACACTCACATCCTTAGACAATGCTTTTCTGAGAAGGCCCTGGATTTGATCTTTGCTTAGAAGCCATTTCTTAATCTTAGCTGTTTGACATATTGAGAGAAACTGAGAATTTTCAAAACCAGCGAAGTCCTGGGTTCTTGTTTAGGAGTCCTTCCTTAGCTTACTTCTCTCATTTACTGTTTATCATAAGCAGTAAGAAGAAATCAGACAAAAAGCTTCAACTTTTTGCTTGAAAACTCCTTAGCTTAACCACCCAGTACATTGGGTATATTTTCTGTTTCCCACATTACTGCCAGGTGACATCGTTGCTAAGCTTTCAGACACTAAACAAACATTCCCTTTCTTCCATTTTCCAATATGATTTTCTTCATTTTCATTTAAACCCTCACTGACGCTCTATCCAAAGACCTTTAAGCTTCCAGTAACAGTCTCTTCGGAACTTTATTAAACCTCGCCTCAAAGACCTTCCAGCTTTTATTTACTGTCTGAGTCCTGAGTCCAAAGTCATTCCCATGTTTTAGTATTTGTTGCAGCAGCACTTCATTTTCAGGTCTCCAGAATCTGTATCAGTCAAAAATCATTCCCAAATTTAGTGGCTTAAAATAACAAACATTTATTATTTCACAGTTCCTGTTGACCAGGAATTCAAGAGCAGCTTAAATAGATGGTTTTTGGTTCAGGGTCCCTCATAAGGTTGCAGTGAAAACATGGCACAACTGGTCATCTTAAGGCTTGCTTGGAGCTGAATAACCTGCTTCCAAGGTGGCTCACTAATATGGCTGTTGTCTGAAGGCTTCAGTTCCTCACCACATGAACAACTACATAGTGTTGCTTGAATGTCCTTATAATATGGCAGTTAGGCATCCTCCATAATGTGGGTGACCTCAAGCAATTAGTTGAAAGGCATAAGAAAAAAGATTGAGGTCCTCTGAAGAGAATAGAATTCAGCCTTCTCATGACTGCAACACCAACTTGTGCCAATTTCCAGCATGCCTGCCCATTCTGCCAACCCAGCCCACAATCTTATGAACCACTTCCTTAAAAAAAAAAAAAAAGAAAGAAAGAAACTTTACTTTCTATATAAAGATTGGTATCTCTTATCTGAAATGCTTGGAACCAGAACTGTTTCAAATTTCAGAATATTTGTATGTGCATAGTAAGACATCTTAAGGATAGCACCCAACTTTACAGATGAAATTTATTTATGTTTATACACCTTATAACACACAAGCTGAAGGTAATTTTATACATGATTTAAAATAATTTCAGGCATGAAACAAAATTCTGACTGCATTTTTAGTGTGATTCATTACATGAGGTCAAGTGTAAATTTTTTCTACTTGAGGTGTCAAGTCCATACTCAAAAAGTTTTGGATTTTGGGGCCGGGCACAGTGGCTCAGGCCTATAATTCCAGCATTGTGGGGAGGTGGGTGGATTGCTTCAGCCCAGGAGTTCGAGACCAGCCTGAGCAACAATGCAAGACCTTGTCTCAAAAAGAAAAAAGTTTCAGATTTTGGAACATTCAGATTTTAAATTTTCAGATGAGGGATGCTCAACCTGTATTGGTTATTTTTTTCTGGAGAAATTTGACAAATACAGTGTCTTAGAAATATTCTTAGCAATTGATAAGTTTATTTAATAAGGCTAGTGATTTCTTCCACATCCTTTATGTTTACAAATTCCTTCCAAGCCGTTACTTACTTGTAAGTCATCTGCCCCTTCAGCTTCATTTTTTGATTCGGGGCATCCTAAGAAAATAGATAAGGTTAATTAAGCATAGAATTTTTGTCTTAGAGTCCAGTATTAATGACTAATTGATTATGTCATTATAATACTTTAAAAGACTAATCAGAGATCTTTCTGGATTGCCTGGCAATTAAGATACTGGCCACTTATATTTGCCCGTTAGAATAATGGAGAATAATGTAATTATTTCCTTCTTCCATAGGAAAATTTCCAGTTGCTTAACTAACGAGATGTTTTCTCTGAAAGTATACTATCTCTAGCACCCCCTGCCCCTAGTTTCTCCCAAATACTGCCAATTACTAGGCAGATTATAATTACACTGCTCTGGTGATGCTAAGATGCGATTTATTCAATTTTTCTGAATGCTTTGACCCAGGAAACAGTATTTAGTACCCAAAGCCAGGATTTTAGTTGCTTTAGCTCAGATGGAAAACAAATGAGTTTTAATCCACTATTGATAGTTAAAGGCCAACTGTTGTTACTGACTTTTGTGCATCAATGTCTCTGTACAGATTTTCATGCTGTTAAGGGTACCTTTAGTTTCAATAAATTAATAAGGAAGGATTTGTCCTAGTATTCTTAGTTCATGCTACCCTTGAGAGGCACAGCTTAGCATGGAGTAGGCATGAGATAAGGAGAAATGTGCCCTTTTGAAAGAGCAGCATATTTTATCTTTTTGTCACAGAAGGTCAAGTAAAAGCAATTTGAGATTGTTGAAAGTCTATATAACAGCTGCTGATAATGCTAGCTAATGTTTTTCAATGTTCAAAAATAACAAGGCAGACTAAGTACTATAGTCTATTCTACCTGGGAGTTTGTAAGCTACTCCTTGTAAATCATTTTTTAAAACATTAAACCCAATCTATTTGATCCTAGTGAAAGAAGTATACTGTTATGGTACATGAGCATAAGCTTAAAAGTAATTCAAAACTTTAAATCATATAAATTCCAGCAGCCATGGATAATATTTTTCTCTTTAAAGCACTGGTTCTTCAAACCTTGCTAAAGGTTAGAATCAATTGAGGAATTGTCAAAAAATACACTGATGCCAGAGTATGGCGTCAAACCAAAATATATCAGAATCTCTGTGGAATGAGGCACAGGGCATCATGTATTTTTTTTTTAAGTTTCTTATTTTTTTTCTTCAAATTCAAATTACTTGACTAGAGAACAATTCCTCACTATATTTGAACTTACTTGGAGTTTGTGAAAAATAATGGGTGACTCGACTCCATTCCCCAGATAGATTCAATTGGTCTGGAGTGGAGACTAAGTCATTTTAAGCTTCAAAAGCTTCCCAGGTGATTGTAATGTGTAGCCAAGGTTAAGAACACTGATCTAGGGAGAATTTATGGGGTCTTACAATAAATACAAAATGGGTACTATTACTTCATAGTAATTTTTTCTGGATCAGAATAAAAAATTACTCATTTACCAAATTCCAATCTTTTAAAGTAGCTAAATAAATTACTTAACTACAGTTTCATGCACTATCAAAACAGATTTGTACAACATATTTCCATGTTCTTGCCTGTGACTGGTCTCATAGTTTGTTTTCAGATTTTCTTATTAAAATGACATCTTCAAAATACACAAATCACAATGTAGTCTAGCACACTTTCAGTTACTTCATACAGAAAGTTAAATTGAAATAATTTTCCTTCCTAATTAGAAAAAAAAAAATCAAGTCTTAGATATTTCTACCTTTATGGGAAGAAATGGGTTTTAATGTGATTTTTAAGTAAGCATAAGTCAGTCTTAAATAAAAAAACATTATTCTTCCCTTCAAAACCTGTATGCTTTTGAGTTAACATTTTAATAAACTGAAAAGATAACAAAGGAATAGATGAGGTTTGGAAGTCTGCCAATCCTCAATAATGAAATCAATAAAGTAAAGACTTTTGTCGTGGAATAACTACAGTCTACATACATTTGAATATTACAAGTTCTATATAATTACCCAAAAAAAGGATGTGACTGGTGTCATACATACACAAGTAGAATACCAACTGGGATTCTCACAGCTGTACATTTCTAGTCCCCCTTCCTTCAAGCTTTTATTTTAAAACATTTGAATTATCTGAAGTCAGCTGTTGATGGACTATTCAAGATAGTACATGCAATTGACATAGACTATGATGTGACAAATACGAATCAGGTTAAGGAGTCTATTATTTTCTCTTCATCTATTGTGAGGTTTCAAAGCCGGGTCACATATCACAAAAGCTGACATGGTCAAAGTGTGAAAACTACTTTTGGTCAACTTTAAGAAAGATAACCTCAACTATATATAACTGATAAATAAGAAAATAGTCAAGAATACTTACCTTGAGAAATATCCTCTATAGCTCTTCGGATACCTCTATCAAAAGCCCTAGCATCAGCAGGACTTTGAAACGTAAGACCAAACTTCTTGTCATCAATCTTCCAGTGGTGAAATGTTGGAGTGACCTTATTATAAATGAGGTCTTTTTTAAGCATACATTCCAAAACCACCTGACAAAAGCCAAATACCAAAAATTAATATACATGTATCAAATGCATCTAATGTAGCTCATAAATACAAACTGAGGTGATAAAAAGCTATTACTTTTTAATGAATAATTTCTAATATTTTAAATAAAGTCTTCACGAAGTCAGTCACTAAAGAGATTAAGATGGAATAAAAAATGCACATTATAAACAGGATGCTTATTATACTCCCATTTTAAAGAATACACACATATATACACTCCCATTGCACACAAAATTTCTGGAGGAATATATCAGGAATTCCAGGAAAGAGGCAGGGGGTTGGTAGTAATAGAAATTTAATTTTTTAAAGTCATTTTTGGCTGGGGGCAGTGGCTCACACCTCTAATCCCAGCACTTTGGGAGGCCGAGGCAGGCGGATCACTTGAGATCAGGAATTTGAGACCAGCGTGGCCAACATGGTGAAACGCCATCTCTGCTAAGAATATAAAAAATTAGCTGGGCGTGGTGGTACATGCCTGTAATCCCAGCTACTCAGGAGGCTGAGGCAGAAGAATCGTCTGAGCCCAGGAGGCGGAGGTTGCAGTGAGTTGAGATCAGGTCACTGCACTCCAACCTGGGCAACACAGTGAGACTTTGTCTCAAAAACAAAACAAAACAAAATAAAATAAAATAAAATAAAGTCATTTTCCTAAATGTCTTAAAAGATGTATTTATATTTTGTGTAAGAATTTAACGGTCACGGCAGTAAAACAAATACTCTTTGCCACTTTCTCAAAATATGTATTTAAGTGAGTTACCTAACTTTTTAAAGCCTTAGTTTACTCATCTCTAAAATAGAAATTGCAGTATTAAAATATCCCAGAGCTTAGAGTGGAATGACCGAATGTGCATTCATGTAAAGAGCTTCATGCAATGTATGAAGCAATACACCTTTGGTTTTTAAATTTTTTATTTTGAAAGTATTTCAGATTTGTAGAAATACCTGTAACAAGAATAACACAGAAAATTCCTGTTTGCCCTTTATCCAGACCTATCACATTACTTTTTAACATTCTCTATGCATATGTCCATGTATAAACATTTATTATGAATTCTTTCAAAGGAGTTACATATATTACGTTCTACTGATCTTTAATACACACTTGAGTGTATTTCCTAAGTGCAATACTGTTCTCTTATGTAATCACAGTATGGTGATCTCATTCAGGAAATTTAAAATCAACACAGAACTTTAATCTATAGACCATGTTCCACAGACCATGTTTCACTTTTGCCTACTATACTAATAATGTCTTTTATAGCATTTTAAAAATCTTTCCAGTGTAGGATCCATTCCAGGACAGTTATAAGGTCTCTTCAATCTTTCGTTCCTGGGCCTTTGTCTTTCATCATATTCACAATATGCTTAATGTTAGTTGTCACTATTACTATATAAAACAGAAGTGGATCTATCAGTGATCTTTGCAATTAATCTAATTAATAAAAAGACTAGAACTACACACCTTAATTATTTTAAGAATCCCCTATAAGAAAATAGGAGGAAATAATTAAAAATAATTCAAATGAAACCCATAGTAGCACATGACACATAATAAATGCTCAGTTGGTATTTGGTGAAAGAGTATCTTTCCACTACCTCCACTCTTTTCCAATCACCATTATCACTTGCACATCTCTTCCATGCACTGCTGATGATCCCCTCATATATTACTAGTAGTAGTGAATTACTAGTAGTAATTACACTACTCTGCAGGTAGAGTAATAATTTTTCTTAAAATAAAAATAGCAACTTTACTGGACCACTTCCTAGTTTCAATGTCTTTTCAATGCTTTCAAGACTAAAATTCCTACTATGACCTACTAGGCCCTGCATGAGCTGATCTTTGTCTATTTGCCAAATCCTTAAGTTACAGTCGCAGACAAACATTAGGTACTAAACCAATACTTCTCCTCAGAAAAACTTTCAGGCTTTATGCACTTCCCTAGGAACTCATTCATAGATCATGGACTAGGAATCTCTAATTTATGCTTTTGGAGGGGAGGTCTGCTAGAGTCTGCTTATACTGGCTCCCAAGAGCCAGATATTAAATTTTCAGGAATTTTGGAAGCCATTGTTAAAAAGCTAGAATATATAACTCTACAATGAAATAAATTACATTAAAAATAAAATAATAAATACACAAAACTCATCAGTTCCAAATTATTTTACTCTATTTTCACAATTACCTATGTTCTTGAGGTAGTTTATGTCTGTCGTATCTGTATGGTAGAAATACTATGTAATGCCACACTTCCCAATGCCATATGCAATGATGGCATGCTGACTGAAAGCAGCCATGGTGGAGGTATGTAAATGCTATAAATCATTGACTTGTGTCCCCTCCTGAAAGCTGATTGCTAAACCTTTTATCAGCATACCACCAAATATAATAATTCTTGGTAGTAACTTTTATTAATTCAGAAATAACCAAAAATGTGACTAAGGTTCAGTCCTGCCCGTTTATAGGCAATGCAGTGAAATTCTCTCAAGAGTTTTGCTTCCTATACTTTGACGACTCTACATGTATTAGAAAAGAATTAACAACCAGGCACAGTGGCTCATGCCTGTAATTCCAGCCATTTGGAAGGCTGAGACAGGTAGATCGACTGAGGTCAGGAGTCTGAGACCATCCTGACCAATACAGTGAAACCTATCTCTACTAAAATACAAAAATTAGCCGGGTATGGTGGTGGGTGCCTGTAATCTCAGGTACTTAAGAGGCTGAGCCAGGAGAATCACTTCAACCTGGGAGCCAGAGGTTGCAGCGAGCCGAGATTGTGTCACTGCAATCCAGCCTAGGCAGCAAGAGTGAAACTCCATCTCAAAACAAGAAAGGAATGTACATATATCCAGAACTTTTATGAGTCAGCACTTTGCTAAAGCATTTTACACAGATTTACTATTAAATATTTGTTACAACCATTTTGCAACAACAACAACAATTCAGGATTAAGCTCTAGAATTCAAGGGGAAGTAAATGTTAGTGTCAGAAATTACTGCAACATTTTTACTATATCCATAAACAGTGGGAAAAGCAGTATTTTGTAAAACAATGCTAAATTGGAATTGTTAAAAAGGGGAGGACATAAGAACAGTTTGATTCTAGTTTTTAATATATAATACCACTAAATTAATTTGTAATACATGAAAATATTACTGAATTAGCCCCCTCTTCTATTTTCCAAAATTAATACTTCAACTATTAACTCTCAGATAAATAAAATTTCAACGTGATCTACCCTAATCTCGTCTTCAAAAGGCATCTATTGTTTAGAGCGTCCCAAAACTCAAAGAAAAAGTAGTTTTAAAAATAAGTTTAAGCACTATTCACAATAGCAAAGACATGGAATCAACCTAGGTGTCCATCAACGGTGGATTAAATAAAGAAAATGTGATACATATATACTTATAAAACATATACCATGGGATACTAAACAGCCATAAAGAAGAATGAAATCATGTCCTTTGCAGCAACATGGATATAGCTGGAGGCCATTATCCTCAGCAAATTAATGTAGGAACAGAAAGCGAAACACCACATGTTCTTACTTGTAAGTGGGAGCTAACAATGGATACTCAGACACACAAAGATGGCAATAATAGGCACTGGGGAAAGAGAAGGAGGGAGGTAAGAGTTGAAAACCTATTGAGTACAAGGGTGTCAAAACCCATCATTCCCCAAACCTCAGCATTATCCAATATACCCAGGTAACAAAATCTGCACATGTATCCCTTGAATCTAAAAGATGAAATTATAAATAAATCAATGAAAATGAGCTTTAAAATGCACTGAGGAAATGAAGAGGCTAATGAACTAGCTCTTTGACTCAGATAAATACCTATGCAGAAATGTGTTCCACCGAAAAGTCATGAAAATACCGAGTTTAAATATCGTACCAACCAGTACAAAAACATACTAATTATAAACTAGATCTCAACATGTTTACTTCTATCTATAAAATATGAGAAAATACTGTTGGTATTATATATTTAATGTAGCAAAAAACTGATTATCCTTTAGGTAAAAACTTCTATGGTAGTTGCTAAAATGAATTTTGGGACAGGCAGTGGAACAGAAAAAAGGTAATCTGTTGGCACAATCGCCCAACATCTTTGTAGATATTTTTTAGGATATGCCTCCTAGAAGAGTCTATCACTCATTTACATAATTCTCACAGGTTCCCTATGCAATGTACAATATTTTCTTATTTATCTAAGTGACATAATATATTAGAAAGTTGTTTTGCTTTTAAGTAGCATTTTTAAAAATGTACTTTAATCACACTAAAGACAATGTATAGTACACCTTGATTAAGTAACAGAGATGGATACCAACTATCTACTTCAAACTTAAAAAAAAAATCAATGGGGTTCAAAGTTGTTAAAAAAAAAAAAAAAAGAAAGAAAAAGAAAGCAAAGAAAAAGAATGCCTCAGAAGATGTTTACTCATCATCTGATCAGAACTCAACCTACATTCCTGAAAAGCAAAAATAATTTTAAGGGATAGAGGATTCTTAAAATTACTGAAATCTACTGCCTATTTTCACTGTCCCTTCTCAACTATATCAGAACACTAAGTTCTGACGTTAGCCCAATGTAGTTTTCACTGTATTAATTCTGTATCTTAAAAGATAACAGTAATATTAGTAACAACAGTCATACAGGAAGCAGAGTTCAATGCTGAATTACCATATTTGAGATGGGCATAATTAGCAAACTGTAGAAAATAGCAATTACATCTTTGACAAGAGATTAAAAACAACCAATCCCATATTACCAAGTGAATTATTTACTTTGTAGGAGAAATGAGGTAAAGGGATACATTATTTCTGGCCAATAGGAAGTTAGGCTAATCACCAATGGCAATTAATGTCTTGTCTTCTTTGTAAGACAAGACATGGTGCAAAAGGAAATAAATAATTCTAAGTCTTGTTAAGACTATCCTAAAGGCCATTGCCAGAAGCTATTGAAAACATAATCT